GTACAGAATGCTGATTGTATGAAGCAGTTTAGACCGATTTCATGCTGCAATATACTGTATAAGTGTATTGCTAAGGTCCTAGCAAACAGACTTACAGAAGTGCTTCCTAGTATCATTAGTCAAAACCAGTCTGCTTTCATTAAGGGTAGATTGATTAGTGACAATGTTCTATTGGCCCATGAGATGGTGATGCTGTATAATAGGAAAACTATATCTCCTAGATGTGCCCTAAAGGTTGATGTGATGAAGGCCTTTGATAGTGTTGATTGGGGATACTTAAAAACAATAATGGAAGCCATGAAAATTCCTACACAGTTCATCAAATGGATTGAAGTCTGTTTACACAGTACAAAGTTGAGTGTGTGTTTTAATGGGGGATTAGTTGGATATTTTTCTGCTCAAAAGGGACTGAGACAAGGGGATCCTCTCTCCCCTTATCTTTTTACCATTGCCATGGAACTTCTCTAATGTATGTTCAACAGGGCTTATGCCATAAAAACTCTTCCTCCCCATCCTCAAACCCATAGAATAGGGCTTTCTCACTTGTGTTTTGCTGATGACCTTTTGGTCTTCACAAAAGGGACCCCTGAAGCTGTAGAAAAAGCTAAGTCCATTTTGGATGCTTTCTATGTTGTATCTGGATTGAGATGCAATCCTGCCAAGAGTGAAGTGTTCTGTGGGGGTGTGGAAACTAGGGTCTAGGCTCAGATTTCTTCTAGAACTGGGTTTGCTATAGGAAAACTTCCTGTGAGGTACCTGGGGATTCCTCTTATTGCTGGAAAACTGAATACCTCTGATTGTCAAGCTTTGGTTGAAAAGATAACTGCTAGGATCAGGGGCTGGAAGGTGAGAACTCTGACTTATGCTGGTAAAATGCAGCTCATCTCTGCTGTCGTTTCTAGCATTACTCAGTACTGGATGGGGATCATTCAACTTCCTGTTAAGGTGATTAAAATGGTTGAGAAAGCCTGCTCTGATTTCTTGTGGAGTGCAGAGGAAGAGGGGAAAAGGGCCAAAGTTCAATGGCATTTGATAGCTAGACCTAAGAAAGAAGGTGGGTTAGGTTTCAAAAGCTGGAATATGGCTTGCTTAGTAAGACATATCTGGGCTCTTTCTTCTAATTCTTCTTCTCTATGGGCAAGTTGGGTTAGGCACTACCAGCTCACCTATACTTCTCTGTGGGACATACCTACATCTATGCCTTGCTCTTGGGCTTGGAGGAAAGTCTTGAAGATTAGGACGAAAGTTGCTCAACATCTAACAGTCAGACCTGCAGGTGTGTATTGGGGAGACTGTGTGATGCACAAGTTCTCAGTAAAAAAAGTCTGGGAGACTCTTCGTGATAAACATGAGGCAGTGCAGTGGTTTCCATTGCTTTGGAAGTCTTATGGCACACCTAGAGATAAGCTTCTAGTCTGGTTAATCATCCTAAACAGAATTGCCACATTAGACAAGGTGCAAAGGTGGAACAGTGCAGTGGTCAACCTATGCCCATTATGTTCTTCTGCGGAGGAATCCAGAGATCACCTTTTCTTTGGATGTGCTTATTCTAAGCGTGTGATGCAAGCAATGTTTGCAGGAAGGGATGTGGTGGGGGCAAATTGGGAAGGTTCCTTGGCAAATGCTACATCACTGTTCAGGGTGAAAAACTCTGTATCTGAGCGAGGAAGACTCCTTTGGGTAATGGTGGTGGCCGAAATCTGGCGGGAACGATGCAGAAGAGCTATGTCGGGTGAGGCTCTATCGGAAAATCAGCTACTGAAAAAGCTGCAAGGGCTACTGCACCTACTCAGGCATGGATTCCCTCAGGTGGAACTTGCTGTCTCGGAAGATTATGTCAGTAGTATAGTAGTGTAGTTTTAGATTTGATTGGTTTTTGTGTTTTTGTCTCTTGTTTAGTTTGGTATTCAAAATTCTGAGTTGCTATTTGTTGTAAACAGTGGTGCTGTTTGTTGGTTCCAGTTGGGGGGGTTTCTTCCTTTGGAAAACCCTCCTTCTTGATGAATAAAATCTGCTTATTCATCAAAAAAAAGAATGACCGGAGAGGCCCACGCAAATCCAAGCAGCGTGACCAATAGAACCAGGATTGGAAAGAAAAGATCGGAATTATCTGATCAGTACAAATTGATTAAGAAAATAACGAAAGTAATTACCATTGGGATCGTTAGGAAGATGGATCAAAAGAGAAGGGAGATCCCGCCCGGGAGAGCAACGACTGCATCTGTTACCACCACAGAGACAAATGCTGGCACTCCGGACAGCCAAGTGTGAAGAGGAGTAGGAGTGGTGCTGCAGGGGTCCAGATCGGGTCAGTAACTGATGGGTGAGTAACCCATCAGTAACCCCTTACATGGTCCCCACGTGCCAGTCACTTTTTTATTTAAATTAAATGTGAAAAGGGCAGTACAGTAAAATTGCACTTTCTCCTATTAATTGCTAAGGCTGACTTTTGAGCGTACCACATCAGCGCCTCCTTCTCTCTCCTTGCAAAACATTTAATTTTCCTTCCCTTAATCTTTAACGGACGATTTCTCACTCGTTTTAAGTCGAAATTTAATTTTTTTGCACAGTTAGATCAGATTAATTGTGCTCTTCAAAATGATATCCACTTTGATATTTTTTTGACACAAAAAAATTTGTCAGTTATTACCAGTTATGCCATATGGTATTGACTGTACCATATGGTATTGATTGGTATTAAATAAGAGCATACCATATGGTATGAAAATTTTTGCCACATGAATATATATTTCGTTACTACCATATTGTATAGTGTGGTAATATCAATATATATTTCGTTACCACCCAATACCATATGGTATAGTGTGGTAATATCAATATATATTTCGTTACCACCCAATACCATATGGTATAGAGTGGTAATACCAAAATATATTTCGTTACCACCCAATACCATATGGTATAGTGTGGTAATATCAATATATATTTCGTTACCACCCAATACCATATGGTATAGAGTGGTAATACCAATATATATTTCGTTACCACCCAATACCATATGGTATAGTGTGTTAATATCAATATATATTTCGTTACCACCCAATACCATATGGTATAGAGTGGTAATACCATATGATATAGAATGGTAATACCAATATATATTTCGTTACCACATAATACCTTATGGTATAGTGTGATAATATCAATATATATTACCTAAAAGAAAGGGGGAAAAACAAAAAGAGAGAGAAAAAAACTTGTCTTCTGTCTCATCTCATTTCATCCGCAACCAAAGAACACCAAACGCCAAAAAAGGGAGAAAAATCAAAATTAAAGCTAACGAGTTGATAAAGAGAAGAAACGCAATTAAAGAGGGTGACTTCAATTTTTATTTGTCGATTGCTAGAGAAAAAAATGAAGATGGAATAGAGAAAGAGAAAGGATCTGAAAAAATATTGGAAAAAAGAAGAGAGAAGGAATAAAGTAGAGTTGCAGAGAAATGGAGATTGTGAGAGAAAAAGTAAGAGAGAAAGAATAGAGAAAGAGAAAGGATCTAGAAAAATATTGGAAAAAGGAAGAGAGAAGGAATAAAGTAGAGTTGCAGAGAAAAGGTTATTCTCTTTCTTTCATTGAAAAGTCAGCCATTGAAATGCGGAATAAATAAAAAAAATTAAAAATACAAAAGCGGACAAAAATGCCCTTCCCCACCCCTGCGTCCAGCCAACCACACGATTCCTCCATCCCCTAGATCTACGGCTCCCATGTGTTTACTGATAGGTCAGTAACCAGTGGTTACTGACCCTATCCCAAACCATGCTGCAGATGTTGATTCTAGACACTGGCGATGACCATCTTTTTTCCTTTTCCTTGGAAGAAATCCACCAATTAAACTTTAGTTGTTATTTGAGCTGCTTTTTGTCTCCGGAAAATTATTATTGTTGTTCACAATTTCGAAGAAAATGACACTTTTGTCCATCATCCTTTTGAAATCCAACCAAAACCACTATCCACAGCCCGTTGATAGCTTTCCTCCCTCATATTACCGGAGAAGGTAGAGCAGGGTCTCTCCTCCTCCCTCGTCTAGCAGGAGAAGTATGTCACTGTCGTCCTAGTCTCCATATCCCTATTGTTGTCTCCCCGTCATCTTCACCATCGTCCTCGTCTTCGTCTAATCTAGTCCCAACACAGACCGACAATGACAGGCTGTTGTGCGCCAATATAGTTGATCGTGAAACTGCTGAAAGATGGTTTATGACACTAACTATGCGCTTAATGCCAGCACAAGAACCAGAAAACTCGAAGGTAAGGAAAACGAGATGAGCGATTGAGACCCGGTATGTTTCGATCTGGTTGCATACAGACTAACGCTCAGACTTAGAGTCAATTTTATAATTGTGTCGAGTCGAGTCTTTGTCCTATGCTCTTTTGGCTTGTCTTGGGAAAAAAAGTTTGGACAAGCAGGATCTTCCTTTCTGTGATGTAAGCCAGGTCAATTCTCTGGCTGTCATATATACCAATAATATGTCGGCAAATAAATAAGTCCACTAAAAACTCTGCTAGCGAACAATGTTCATTACTCAGAATAGCCAATGAGCAAGTTAGTCAAACCGGATTAAGTCATTAAGCCGGTGTGGCAAGGGGTTTGAGGTTCAATGGTCAGATCAGCGTTCAACCCGATTAAGCTTGTTTGGACAATATACTTGTTATTTCACCGCAGAAAATAGAACCCTAGAAAGCAAAAAGCCAATCCCTTCTTCAAAACTTTTTTGGATAAATCCCATCTTCACTTTGATAAGCCTATTCTCAAAATCACAACCAACGAACACCTAATTGGCTAATTCATCTTGCTTACTTACTTCTTTCATCTCAATTCCTCTCCATTTCTCCCCTGCGTCAATCTGCTTCCTCCTATTTCTAACTTTGTCGATTCTCCTCTCTGGAGCGACGAGGGGAAAGAGGGGAAAAGAACACCACAACAGCGACGGCTTGTGCGAACTAAAAGGGAGAAGTCGGCAGCAAGTGCTGGTGCGCCACCGGCAATGTTCTGCGAACAAGGCGTGGCGCTTCAAGATCTAGGCCGAGAAGACGCGGGGTCAGGAGACAAAGGGAAGATGTGGGACCAGGGAGATGCGGCACAGACGATCACTGCAAGATGGAGGGGCCGCTGGCAATCAGCTGAAGATGGAGGGGGAGTGCCGCGGTGGGAGGGAGTCGTCTTCCTCAAAGAGAGCTTTGTTCTGTACTTCTGTTGGCTACTAGCTCACTTGACGGAAGGGAAGGTCGAAAGTCCAAACAAGGGTTAAAACTTAAAAGTAGAGGTGGTTATACGGTCCAGTCCGGTTAAACTAGCCTGGATTGCCCCGGTCCCAATCCGGTCTTTTTGACAATATGGAGACTAAAGATTGGATTGGGTACAGTCCGGTTTTGATCCAGTATGGTATATCCGGTCCCGGTCCTAATCCAGTTTTGACCCAGATCGACCTTGGTCCCCTCCATCTAGCTGATTCCGGTGGCTGCTACCTATTAGTCACCGGCGAAACCGCGAAAAGGAAGGGTATGTACTGGTTTTCTTGTCCAGAGGGCAAAAGCGGCGGGAGGTGTGGACAGACGGTGAGGCAAGAGGTGTAGACCAACGGCGGGAGGTGGTTTTGACCGACTTTGACCGGTTGTTAGCTAACTCAAAATATGGCCGCTCCTGGCCCTTTTCATGCCTGGTTTCAGCTTGGCCGCCCGATTGGGCCCCAGTTTGACAACCTTGTCATGGATGCACTTGGCACAATTTTTACGCCTGACTTTAATAGCTAGACGACAAGCTTGGGATACGGTCAGTAACCACTTGATTACTGACTTGTCAGTAATAAATAGGGACCGTAGATCTAAGGGACGGAGCCATGGTGCAGTTGAGCTGGAAGCGGGGGGTGGGGAGGGGCATTTTTGTCCCGTTTTGTAATTTTAAATTTCTTTTTTTTAATTTATCCTGAAATTAATTGGTTGACTTTTCGATGAAGGAGAGAGAAACGGTCTTTTCTCGACAACTCTCATTTCTCTTTCTCTCTCCCAATCTCCTTCTCCATATCTAGATATGCTCCCTTCTTTTCTTCTTCATTTTTTTTTCAAGCAATCGAAGAAGAAAAATTGCAGTCACCCCTCTTTCATTGTTTTTCTTCTCTTCATCAAATCGTTGGCCTCAATTCCGATCTTTCTCCTTTCTGGCATTTGGTGTTTTTTATTGTGGAGGAAATGAGACGAGATAGAAGACAATTTTTTTTTCTCTACCTCCTCTATTTTTTTTCTTTTAGCTAATATATATTGATATTACTACACAATAACATATGGTATTGTGTGGTAATGAAATATATATTGATACTACCACACTATACCATATGGTATTGTGTGGTAACGAACTATATATTGATATTACCACACTATACCATATGGTATTGGGTGGTAATCGACACTAATACCGAGAAATTATATTTATATTATATCGTAGAGGGTTGTAATTAGATTTATATTATTTTTGTATGGTTTTACCTTCTCATACCATGTGGTATTGTATGGTAATTACAATTAATTTGTGTTAATTCGATTAACCATGTTCTACTATGGTGGTATCGTATGGTAGTTAGCTTTATAATTTTCTGTAACATGTTTTACCATGTTATACCATGTGGTGGTAGTTGGATTTTTAATTTAATTTTAGCATGTTATATCATATGGTATGGTATGGTAAATAGATTTGTAAATTTCTGTAGCATGTTTTACCACGTTATACCATGTGGTATTGTATGGTAGTTAGATTTGTAATTTTTTTCAACATATTTTATCATATTTTACCATGGTAGTAGAAAGTGATAATCATATTCATATTTATAATTACTGTCTTTAGCACTAAATTATTTAATAAAAAAATCACCATTTAATTTGAGTTGGAATTAGACCAGAGATAACTGAGATGATTAGATTCATTTTTGTTGTAGATGGAAGAGAGGAAGAAGAAATCATGTAATTTTTGTTTTAATAATAAAAGAAAGAGTGAGAGAGAGGGGAACACGCGTGGGGCTGGGGAGTGAGTCCGCGTATGTTAGCATTAAATGTGAGTGTGTGTAATTTACCCTACTATCCTTCCGTATTTAATTTAAATATAAAAAACACTGACACGTTGGGACAGGTGAAGGGGTTACTGATGGGTTACTGAAACATCAGTTACCGACCTTATATCCAGACCCTAGATGACGATCATCAATGCAGAAAGCACAAATGCAATTTCGAAGAACCACTGAAAAAGTTTCCAACTTCCTAAATAATAAAAAAGAGCAAAAATAGAGCATAATCAAAGTCAGTTTGACTAACATAGAAGCGTCTTAACTCTCAGAATCGTTTGGATAAGAAATTTGAACGGATCAATTTGATTCAATTGTTTCGTTTTGAGACTATATGAACCCCTCAAACGAAAGCTACTCACAAAAGTTTGAAGTTTGCACACGTTCGAATACCATGTACTTAACACACGGGGGTCGTGGGGATTTGAACACAAGACTTCTCGGTCACAGAAGGCTCTGATACCATGTCAGGAACCAATTGATCCCAATAACTCGAGTTTTTGGGAGAGGTTTCATAATGGATTTACACCATACACTAACACACGCCCCCTCAAACGAAATACAAACTGGTTCCTAGCATGGTATCAAAACCTTCTTTCCCCAAGAGGTCTTGTGTTCGAATTCTCACGACTCCCATTTGCTAAGCACATGGTATTCGGACGTGTACAAATTTCAAACTTTTGTGAGTGGTTTTCATTTGAGTGGACATGTTAGTGTGTTATATTGTTGGAAGAGATTCCATAATCGATTTATACCATACACTTCATTACAAATGGTTTCTTGGCGGAGGCGGTGGAGAGGGCCCAAGATAGGGTGCATAACCATGGGTTATGCACCCATCAATAACCAAATCTGAACCCTTCATTTAGAAAATCCAGATCTAAGGATGGAGAATTAAAGACCATTTTTATTTTCCTTAACTTTCTTAATCGGCTCATATCTTTTTCGTTTTAACTCGGATTTTAATTTTGTTTGCACAGATGGAACGAGTTCATCGTGCTCAAAAAAATGAGATCAATTTTCAATATTTTTTTAGAGAAAAAAATTCTGGCCTCTCGGTACCAACTGCATACCATATCGTATTTTCTTCGTTTTTAATTCATTTTTAAAAACTTTGCACAGAAAGGACAAGTTCATCATGATCTATTGGATCTACAAATTTCTAGTTGAACAAATTACATGACCAAAAAAATACCACACAATACCATACAATACCACCCTGATACGGGGTGGTATCTTGTGGTACACAATGTTAAAAGTCGTAAATGACAGTTAATATACTTCTACTATCATGTATTCAACCATCCTACAGTCTTGGTTTGTTCATACCACCATGGTACGCTTTTCAAACCATAGGTATGCTCTTATTTCAATACCAGTCAATATCATATGGTATAGACTGGTAAAAAATGGCTCAATTTTTTTTGTTCGAAAAATATATCAAAGTGGATATCATTTTGAAGAGCACAATTAATTTGATCTAACTGTGCAAAAAAAATTAAATTTCGACTTAAAACGAGTGAGAAATCGCCCGTCAAAGATTAGGAGAGGAAAATTAAAGGTTTTCCAGGAGAGAGAGGTATGCTGATGTGGGCGCGTTACTCATGGTTACTCACTATAAGGTTACTGACCTGATCCGTTCCCGATGGAGAGGGGGAAGTGGTCGAAGGAGGCAAAATGCGGCATCTTACTGAAGTAGAATTGAAACTAAGGGGTCATTTGGAAGTTGTTATTGTTAAATAGATGTTGTTGAGAATGCATGTATAATATTATACATGTATTGTCGAATTTGATGCATTGTAGAATACAACGTTTGGTATGTGTGATTGTGTATGTCGCATCAGCTAAAAGCTGAGACAAAACAATCTCAACTCAACTATCTCAACAATCACAACTAAAGAGATGAGATATAACAATCACTCAAAATGAGTGATAGTTTCTGTCACATCATAGAAACAATCCATGTATTGTTTCTGCTAAAAAAACAAAAGAACGATGCATTGTAAACAATACATACATAATGACAATCTCAATAAAACTATCGCAATTTCCAAACGACCCCTATGTGTAAGGACCGATCAAAAGAAACTATGAGTAAGGAACTTTAGATCTCTGATGGAATTTTAGAGGAACTAATGGGGGGAAATGGCAGAAGCCAGAAGGGGGTTTAATGACAAAAATATTGTGTTTTTTTTAATTTATTACCAATATGGCGGATTTAAAAAGTATTGACAAGTATATTGTGTTTTGGAAAAAAAGTTAGGCGAGACCACCTGAGACTGAGGTGTCAACACCTGAGACTCAGGTGAATAGGTGGGAAGAAAGTCCCAGGTGTTGGCACCTGAGACTGAGGTGGCACCACCTGAAACTGAGGTGGTACCACCTAAGACTGAGGTGGCACCGCGAAGAACAATCCTAATTCTAACCTGAACCCTAAACCAGCGAATTTCGTATCAGTTATTCACACCACAAATGGCTAATAGGTAAGAGACATATTTATTTTTTTAATTATATTATTCAAATGCTATTATGATTGTGTTTAGTTTAATTAGTGAGTTTTTCTGTAGTGATTTTAGAATATTTAAACTAGTCGTTCGGTGGAAATCGGAGAAAGTAGTGGATAATTTGGGCGTCAAATTCGTTGGTGGTGGTAGTTTTCAGTTGGCGATTTTTCAAATGTAATAGTTGTGGTTTGAAGTAGTAGTTGTTTTTCAAATAGTTGTTATGGTTTAAGAAGGTTGTTGTAGTTGTTGTTTTTCAAATGTAGTAGTTGTTGTTCTTGGCCAAATTATAAAATGTCCGAGTTGTTGTTTGTTATTTGATGTTCCGAATAATTATCGCTAATAACATCATACATGAATGTAAAAATAGTTTAAGGAATAGTCCACAAACATAAATAGTCCACATAATAGTCCACATAACACATAAATAGTCCACATACATATCCCAAATAATAATAACATAACAAAAAAACTCTAACGACGACCACCACGATGACCACCATGCTGATCCGTGTCGTGGATGATCAGCCCCAGCATGATGATGGTAGGCCTACACGGATCAGGGTGCCAGTGAGGTGTGGTAACGACGGCCATCTAGTGGATCAGCATGGTGGTCGTCGTGGTGGTGATCGTTAGAGTTTTTGTTTTGTATTTTTGTTATGTTATTATTATTTGGGATATGTATGTGGACTATTATGT